ACTTGTCCGACATACCACTCCCACTCACGTAGTGGTCCCAACACCTAGTAATCTTCTTCTGGAACACCACCCTGACTCTTTTGTCGGGACAACCCATGGACATCACTGTGGTTGAGACCACCCATCCCTTAGTAACTTCAGAGTTGCTGCCCCACCCTGTAGGTCTTCACCTAGCCTTGATGGCTGACCTTATATTGGGTCTTCTGTTGGATCGGTCCCATATGACTCCCCACTAGAGCCGACTCCTAACCATCCCAATCCACCTTGTCTGAGCATGCATCCTCTCTACGTGGTGGAGCTTGATTTAACTCACCACATGGGTGACTTTACCACCTTTAAAATTAGTGAGGATTCTAAGGCTACCCAACCTTTGGTATCCCCAATCTTTAACCCTGCAAGTTTAATTTTAACCAAAAATTGCATTGCAAAGAAAAAGTCTCCTGAATCTAAAACTGAGTGCATCCATTTTGTAGATTCAAATGATATCACTGATAACGAGGACTTCTTTGAGGATGAAACTAAAGGGATTGAATTAGACTCATTGCAGATCTTAAACCTTGAGTTTGGAGATTTAGAACCTTTAAACGTTGATACCTTAGCCCGCCCTGATCCTAGTCTCCTCAAGGATATCTCTTTGGATAAGGTCTGTCTGGATGATATTAAGTTGATCTCGAAGGAAATTGATATGACCTTGAGCGCTTTGAAATTAAATTCAAAAAATTCTGATTTATTTAAATCTCCTATTGAGTTGACCCCAAATAATTTTGAGTTAATCTTGAATAATTCTGATGGTGATGTCGATAATCTCGAGTTGGAAATGATTCGACTAAATTTACTACCCAATTCAAATACCGATTTAGTTGACCTTGAATCCATTGATCTTAGGGTTATAACAAAACCTGAACCTATTGAGATTATTAACATGACTTTGGAGGACAGTAATTTGAATATGAATGATTCTGAGTATAATTGGAAAAATGAGCCTCCTCGTGTTTTATTGGAATCTATTTTAGGAGTTGCTCCTTTATATTCACATTGGAACGGGTGTGCCTTTCTTGATTGGACTTATCTCACCATTCCTCGTACCGACTTTAATGTTAGAGAGAGTGTTAGCCCATACCCTCAGGGCATCTCTCTAACTATTGTGCCCACTTCTGTTCTGAACACTTTACCCTATCTTTTAAGTCCCATACTTACTAGTGACTCTTTGGGCTATCCCAATATGGTTATGAGTCAGGACCCATCGTCTTATCACGTTCCTGATTTCCCCATTATGTCCTATATATTCTTGTCCTTCCCTGTTAAGGACCATCTTTCTCCTAGTTGGATAAATTTGCTAGATTACCCTGCTGCCCCTAGAAGACTACCTATGACCGTAGCTGAAACTCCTTATAGAAATGCCCTTGCAGCTAAGGATGTCTTCATTGCTTTTCTTACACCAATTCCCTTAAAAAAATGAAAATTTTATGCCCTATCATTTTGTGACTGACCCGTCTTTATTCATATATGTGTGCTTGTGAGTCAGTATGTTTGTGTGTGTTTATAAGTCTATTTTCTTCCACAATTTTCCTCTGTTTAAAACTTGTGTATAAGCCCACAATTCATGTCAATCATCATGCATATCAAGTCTCTTGCATCGCATCATTCCAATGTTATTTATCTTGTCAAGTCTTGAATTTTAGTCGAATTCATATAAAACTTATCGCATTTGCTGCTCATCTCCTGAAATGGCACACCTAATTGAACAGAACAATAAATAATTATAAAATTCATGCTGATTCTAAACGACAATTTAAAACTTTTTGAGTTTGGTAACTCAGCGATGGTGCGGATTTGTCCGGAGCGGTTCCCACAAAGAACTGTAAAGGAATCACATGCTAGAAGTGCGGGACCACTTAAAACAGTCAAGAAAATCAATAACAATGCTTATGTGGTGGATCTGCATGCAGAGTTCAACATTCATTCCTCTATTAATATAGAAGACTTAGTAGCCTATGAGGGTCCAGAATTTAACCCACCAAATACACTTCAAATTGAGCCTTGTGCGACCCCATCCTGTGAGAACCCCAGCCTACCTCCGCTCCCAAATATTCTCCAATCACCTATAATGGAGAAGGTTGACATGATTACGAGTGATGACATTATTTTCACAAATGAGGGTGGACAAAGAAGATATATGATAAGGTGGAGAGGTCAACCAGAGTCAGAGGATACATGGTTAGAGCGCGAGGAGCTACAATAGATCGACCCAGATGCACGAGAGTTCTCGAGACACCCACTCGACGGAGTCGAGTTTTCTCCCACCCAGGGAGAATGATGAGGACATCAGAGATCAGCGGCTATGCTCTTTGTGTTTTATTTTGTCGCTTATAATCAATATAAAAATATAATTATTGTGGTTTTTAAAATTAAGCTTGCAAATTCCTTAATCTAAGTCATCCTTTCATGTATGTTCTACATCACATGTGATAAGTTCTGTAAGTATTTGGACCGATCAACATCAACATCAAGCCTTTGTCCCACTACGTGGGGTCGGCTACATGAATTCTTTTTCTCCATTGTGTCATGTTAAAAGTCAAATTCTCGTTTAAATCTAATAAAGAAAGATTATTTCTAATATTATCTAACCAAGTCCTTTTAAGTCTACCTCTACCTTTCTTAACATAAGTCAAATTTAATACCTCTACTTTCCTAATCGGGTCATCAGAAAGCCGCCGTTTTATATGACGAAACCATCTAAGGCAGCTCTATCTAATCTTATCTTCCTCTGTAGCTACTCCAACCTTTTCACGAATATGCTCATTTCGTATCCTATCTCTAAGAGTAAAGCCACTTATACACCTGAGCATCCTCATCTCTGCAACACTTAACTTAGTATATGCTTCTCTTTTAATGGCCAACATTTGACTCCATAAAGCATTGCAGGTCTCACCACCAACTTATAGAATTTTCCCTTAAGTTTGGGGTGAATTTTTCTATCACATAACAAGCCTGATGCATTCCTCCACATCAACCATCCAACTTGAATTATGCTGATAGTATCCTCATCTATTTCACCATCACTCTGAACAATAGATCCAAGATATCTAAAACGTAGACTTTTATTAATGACTTGATCGCCCAAAGTCACAATCCTCTCACTGTGTCTATTACTACTAAAATTACACTCAATATATTCAGTTTTAGATCTACTCAAACGAAAACCTTTAGACTCTAAGTTTGACCTCCATAGTTCAAGTTTACCTTCAACTCCCTCTCTAGTCTTATCAACAAGAAGAAATATCATCAGCAAAAAGCATGCACCAAGGTACATCCTCTTGCAAACTATCAAATTGTTATAACATGAACTTTATATGAATGCGGTGAACCTTGACTCTATTTTCTTGAATCTGTAAGTATAGTCAATTGTGAGAAAAACCATTAAATGGGTTTTCTAATATGAACATTTATATTGTATGAGCTGGGAATTATTTCTGTGTTTACTCCTGTTAAAATTGTAAATTTGAATGCATTTCAGGAAAAAAATTGGAAATTGATTTGAGATAGCTCCATTATTTGTTTGTGTTGTCTCATCATTTGTTTGTGCCTATTGAAGACTTCAATTGATGGTTTAAGCAAGGATTCTTATAAGGTGCATATTGTTAGAATATGGATGATTAAGCCTAGGGATGATATGTAGATTTATCATTCTACCTTAATTAAATATTGAACCTTTTTGTCGCATTGTTTTCATGATTGAGTTAATACATTGCTCAGTTGTATTTTGCACATTTCTTAGAACTTGCCTGAGGCTTTTGAGTGATCTTGGTGAGGGGCTCTGGATAATCATACATATCTTCATTCTTCCAGAGAACACTTTATAATTTCAACTATTTCAGCATAAAGAGTAGCTTTATGCTATCAGTAGTAATAGCAGGAGGCAGATCACTTTTGTCAATTTATGGGCAGCAGATCAAGGTAAGCTAACAGCCTGCTATATATTATTAAATTCAGCTCCTTATTTTAGTTGTAAACAGTAGAGGATTATACTCGCTTGTTTGTTGAACTAACTAGTAGGATTTGAAGATGCAGCAAGTTAGAGATATACATTAAGATGGGTTGATATGAATTCCGTGAGCTGATTCAAGTAGTAGTAGATTTAAAGCAATCCGGCAGCTATTTGAAACAAAACTGTAGTATAGATGCAGGAAACAATGCATAATTCAGTTTTCATGAGCAATTCAACAATGAAGGTCTGTGTTCAATGGCAGCAAACTTGACATTAGTCCGTGAGCTCAAAGTAGTTAGGATATAGCAAGCAGGCTATAACAGAAACTTGGGCGCTCAATTGATGCAGGGATTGCTTGTGGCAACAGGAGAGCTTGTTCAATATTCATTTAGCTTTAATGAGGAGAAAATTTCTATGCTTTGATGATCATGATGTTTTTAACATTAGTTTCATTTCATTTTCATTTCTTAGATCATTTTGTCCAAAATGGTTCATTACAAACCAAACTCCCTGTTTATTGAAGGGAGCCCCCAAATTACAATGGAATAATAATTAACTAAATGAAAATGAAATGACTACTAATGAAACTAATAAAAAAGCAAAGCATCATATTACATTGTCGGTAATTTTATTGCATTAGAAGCATTTTGGCTAACCCCTTGGACAATGGGCTCTATTGAACCTCCATTTTCTTGTCTTTTCATTCCATTTATGACAATATAATTTTAATATATGAAAATAAGGTTATTACTTTTACCTTATCTAGTTAAATTGATGCTACAGTTTTTTTGAAAAAATATCATTGCACCTGGCAAATGCAATAAAGGGTGTGTGAATGCTTGTTTAGTCATGGGAGAATGAATTGAAACTGCTATTTTTTATATTATTTAGTGAGTTATTTTTTTCAAAGAAATATGATTTGGCACATACCAACATATTCTTGTTTTTCCCTGTCTATTTCTAATTAAGATGTATTTTTGATCTAAGATTTTTCGCTCTTTCTATTTGACAGATCATATTCCATATTTTGAGTATGGATATTATGTTGCATTTAACAATGAAAAGGGAGGGGTTATTGAAACTCTAAAGCAAGAAGGTATTGCTGATTTGGACCCCAAAGCCCCAAATACCTACTTCTCTGAATGGTTGTCTACAAAAGCATTGATCAACACATGGCTTGCCACAGCAATAGAATATGAAATCTGGGTGGCTTCGGATAGTAGTAATGCCTGTAAAATATATTTCTCTGATCTACCATGGCTACTTGCGAAGGTTCTTTATAAGAAACAGAGTCAAGATGTGAAAAGACGACTTGGGATAACAGATGCCAATGCTTCTGAAAGAGAGGAAGAGGTATTTGTTTTTCCTCATGTGTAATGAATTTTCAAGTGATAAATGGATAAAAATAAAATAATTAATTCTTTTGCAAGCTAATGGGACATAATAGAGAAAAATGATTCATGTAGCAACCTTACGTAGTTGGATAAAGACTTATTGTTGTTGTTTGTTGTCATGACCCCACCAAGAAGCTCGAAATAATGATGCTGGAACAAAGGATCGAGGGAATAGTTAAATCTTCTTTTGTAAAATTTCTAACAATATCCATTTCCAATATACTAAAAAAGTCGCTACAAATTGGAAACACATGAAAAATGTTATAACCATTTCAACAAATATATTTCTCTCGGAATGTCGCGTCTATGGTATACATTTTCTTCTTTTCCACTTATTAAAATTTTTTGAATGGTTCTCCTATAATTTTGTAAATATAGGAGGGAGTCATAAATCTAACTTTGTCAGCCATGGTTCTAAATTATAGTAATAAAAGATATTTTGAATAATATGTGTGCTTGCTGTAAAATTCAAGATAACTTTATTTAATAATATTTAAATTTGGAAATGACCTTTAATCATATTTTATGAATATATCTATTGTTATAATATTTTTTGTAACTAATACAACTGTCACAGAAGATACCGTCTAAATAACACCATTAAGATACTCTCTTTTCTAATTTTTTTCCAAAACCTTTTTCATTTCATATGTGTAGTTACATTGAATCCCCAACTAGTACCATAAGTGGGGAGTACTCCATTATTTGATTATGCACATGCAAGTACTTCTGCTTAATAATTTAATTTGAATTCTCTATATGATTTGATAATAAACAATATATGACTTGACTAAATTTATAAGCCTATCATCAAGCTCAATATGATTAATTGCATTTAACATAGATAACACATAAGTAATTGTAATAATGATAAAATGCCTTTAGAAGAATATACACTATTACTATAATTTAGAAACATGAGTATTCGCCTCTAATCTAAGTATTATGATACTTCACTCATACTCCTTACTCCGACGTTGATAGATTTAAAACTTGTATGAAGACCTTATCACTAAAATTCTAAATGATAAATCGATCTTAATTTTTCTAACTCGATATTTAAAATTTTCCTTTTAGAATATAATTTTTCTAACTCGATATTTTGAATAACACCAATATCATTATGTACCAAATATTTATTATTAGTTTTAGACTTTAAGATAAATGGGTAAAAAATAAAAAATAAAGTAAAACGATTATTTAGGATTAGATAGGGGCATTTAAAATATATTAACAAAAGTATTTTTGTGAGTAAGATTTTAGATCTTAAGATTCTGTCTTTGCATGAGGATGCCAATATTATGTGGGAAAAAGTGATTTGTGATATTAAGAATTTTGCAAAAAATGTGCTTGGAGTTTCGAAGGGTTTTCTCCTATAGTAAAAATAGTTGGTGATGAAATCTAAATGTGCAAGAAAGATAAAAAATAAGAAGATTTGTTATAAAAATTGGTTTAGATGTAAAAATTCTGATAATTGGGAAAGCTATAAAGAGGCTTGTAAGGAATCTAAGAAAGTTATTTACGATGCAAAGAGCTTAGCTTTAAATGATTTATATAATAGATTAGATACTAAGGAGGGAGAAAGATATATGTATATGTTAGCCAAACAAAGAGATATGAGTAATAAGGATTTAGTTCAAGTGAAGTGTATTAAGGATGAAGATCAAAAAGTACTTTTTTAGAAGTTGATATTCAACAAAGGTGGATGAGGTATTTTGCTAAACTTTTTAATGAAGAATGTGAAAACACGATTGACTTTACTGACTTTATCACTCTAAATGAAATTAAAGATTTTTGTTTTTATTGGCGTATAAGTAAAACCAAAGTTAGAGAGACTTTAATAAAAATGAAGTGTGGAAAAAATGTTGGACCTAATGATATTCCAATAGAGATGTGAAAATACTTTGGAGATGAAGGAATTTTTTGTCTTACTAAACTTTTTAATATTGTTTTGAAGAATAAAAATATGCCAGATCAGTGGAGAATGAGTGTGTTAATTCCTATTTTTAAGAATAAAGGTGATGCACAAGAATTAAGTTAATGTGTCATACTTTAAACTATGGGAGCGAGTTATGGAGTGTAGGTTGCGGTGTGATACTAATGCTTCTCAAAATCAATTTTGGATTCATGCTGGGTAGGTCTACTATGGAAGCCATGCATTTATCGAGAGGTTTGATGGAGAAATTTAGAGAGAATATGGAGGATCTATATATGATATTTATTGATTTAGAGAAAGCATATGATAAAGTTCCAAGAGAAGTGCTATGGAGAGTTCTTGAAAAAAAAGGAGTTAATAATGCTTATATTCAAATTATTAAAGATATGTATGCAAGAGCTATTACTTGTGTTCAAACACAAGGTGGTTTGACCAAGTATTTTCCTATTTTGGTTGGATTATATCAAGGATCAGCCTTAAGTCCATATCTTTTTGCTTTAGTCATGGATGTTCTCATTAGACATTTGCAAGAGGATGTACCTTGGTGTATGCTTTTTGCTGATGATATTCTTCTTGTTGATAAGACTAGAGAGGAGTTGAATGTAAACTTGAATAATGGAGGTCAACTTTATAGTGTAAAAGTTTTCGCTTGAGTAGATCTAAAACTAAATATATGGAGTGTAATTTAGTAGCAATAGATCTAGTGATGAGATTGTGACTTTGGGCGATCAAGTCATTAATAATTATACATATTTTATATATCTTGGATCTATTGTTCAGAGTGATGGTGAAATTGATGGGGATATTATCAGCAGAATTCAAGTTGGATGGTTGAAGTGGAGGAATGCATCATGCTTATTGTGCGATAGAAAAGTACCCATCAAACATAAGGAAAATTCTATAAGATGGTGGTGAGACCTGTAATGCTTTATGGTGCCGAATGTTGGCCATTAAAAGAGAAGCATAATACTAAGTTAAGTGTTGTAGATATGAGGATGCTTAGGGGGATGAGTGGCTTGACCTTTAGAGATAGAATATGAAATGAGCATATACGTGAAAAGGTTGGAGTAGCTCCAATGGAAGATAAGATTAGAGAGAGTCGCATTAGATGGTTTGGTCACATTAAACGGAGGCCTTCGGATGACCCGGTTAGGAAAGTTGAGGTATTAGATTTGACTTATGTTAAGAAAGATAGAGACAGACTTAAAAAGACTTGGTTAGAAAATAGTAGAAATGATCTTTTTTTATTAGATTTAAATGAGAATTTGACTTTTAACTGGACACAATAGCAAAAATGGATTCATGTAGCTGACCCCACGTAGTGGGACAAAAGCTTGATGTTTTTGTTGTTGTAGTAGGATATAATTTATTACTTAGAATAAATCAAATTATTAATTAAAATATCATGTGTTATTGAATTATAAAAAAAAAACTCTCTCTCTCTCTCTATATATTTACCACAATTTTTTAATTTAAAAATTAATAAAAAGTTCATAATCTAATAATTATTATTATCTCAAATAAATTTTTTTTATTATGATGTTTTAAATTTACTTTTACTAATTAAAATATCATTCTTTAACATAAGTATATATACTATAATTAATATGCTAATCATCACTAATCATTTAATTTATCAGTTGCATAATTAAAATCTCTTGTCATTAATAAGAGTACACGTTTTAGATATCTTGGATCTATTATTCAGAGTGATGGTGAAATAGATGGGGATATTATCAGCAGAATTCAAGTTGGATGGTTGAAGTGGAGGAATGCATTGGGCTTGTTATGTGATAGAAATGTACCCCTCAAACTTAAGGGAAAATTCTATAAGATGGTAGTGAGGCCTGCAATGCTTTATGGTGCCGAATGTTGGCCTTTAAAAGAGAAGCATAATACTAAGTTAAGTGTGGCAGAGATGAGGATGCTCAGGTGGATGAGTAGCTTTACCCTTAGAGATAGGATACGAAATGAGCATATACGTGAAAAGGTTGGAGTAGCTCCAGTAGAAGATAAGATTAGAGAAAGTCGCCTTAGATGGTTTGGTCACATAAAACGGCGGCCTTGCGATGACCCGGTTAGGAGAGTAGAGGTATTAGATTTGACTTATGTTAAGAAAGGTAGGGGTAGACCTAAAAAGACTTGGTTAGAAAATATTAGGAATGACCTTTCTTTATTAGATTTAAACGAGAATTTGACTTTTAATAGGACACAATGGAGAAAAAGGATTCATGTAGCCAACCCCACGTAGTGGGATAAAGGCTTGATGTTGTTGTTGTTTGTATAATTAAAATCTCTTATAATTTATAAAATTTATGCTCTCTCTCTCTTGCATAAAATAACTAACATTGTTACTTAAAGTTTATATCTTATCCAAATGTACTAAAATCACCATCTACCTTGCTCTTACCTTTATTTTAACTTATAACTTATAAAACTAATATATAAGTAGTGTCTAAATTAAAATTTTGAATTTGTTAATATAAATAATACTTTAAATTCAAATTACTCCTACTCAAAATAAATTATAAACTTTTCTAAATTAATTACTAATAATTTTATCATAAAATTACAATTATAATTTATTGTTCTCCTCCCGATTAAACCCTAATACCTAACAATAATAATTTAGAACGAACATTGCCTCTTGTCACTATAGTGGATATGCCCTAGCTTGTCTTGGCCCTTTGTCAAAAATACAAAAGATAAATTTATGTAATCACAAATAAAATAAAATTCCTAGTTTTAAATTATCATATAAAACTCAACTTTTCTATATTATAATTATAGAAAACTAATTTATAAATTCATTATAAAAACCTTAATGTTTAATCAACCTTCTTGCACTTGGTCTTCTTGTCATTGAGTTCATCTATCAGGCTCGTACTCGTGCTCGTTCTTCTCGTTTCCACAGGTTTCTTAGCCCACACTCAATGTCTCCCTCTCTCTTTCTCTCTCACAGTCTATCCCTATCTCCTTTTCATCTCTCAGCAATTTAAAGGGATGGGATCTTCATCTTTCTT